GGTGGCACGGAGTCTATTCTTATGGCTTGCTTGGCTGCTCGGCAAAAGGCTTTCTTGGAGCGCGGTGTCACCGAGCCTGAGATGTAAGTTGATATAGCGGTACTATAATATTGAGCAACGGGACTGATCAATCATCGCAGGATTATTCCCGATACGGCCCATGCAGCATTCATTAAGGCTTGCAACTACTTCAAGATCAAGCTGCACCGAGTGGCTTGCCCAGAACCCGAGTTCAAGGTCGACTTGCACGCTGTTCGCCGTTTGATCAACCCCAACACCGTCCTTCTTGTCGGATCAGCGCCTAACTTCCCCCACGGCATTGTTGATGATATCCCCGCTCTATCACAGCTGGCCACCAAGTACAAGATTCCTCTCCACGTTGACTGCTGCCTGGGATCTTTTGTCGTTGCACACCTCAAGAAGGCCGGTTTCCCCTCTCCCTACGAGGAGGAAGGTGGCTTTGATTTCCGCCAACGCGGCGTGACTAGCATCAGTGTCGACACCCACAAGTACGGATTCGCGCCCAAGGGTAACTCCGTCTTGATCTACCGCAACAAATCATACCGAAACAACCAGTACTTCATCTACCCCGATTGGTCGGGCGGTGTTTATGCCTCTCCCTCCGTGGCGGGCTCCCGCCCTGGCGCTTTGATCGCCGGTTGTTGGGCCAGTCTGATGAGCGTCGGTGAAACCGGATACATCAACAGCTGCACCGATATCATCAACGCGGCACGAAAGTTCGAGACAGCTGTTCGGACAGATGCGACCATCTCACTGCACATGGAGGTCATTGGTAACCCCATCGTCAGTGTGGTCGCCTTCCGCAGTAAGAACGGTGCCATCGACATCTATGATATCGCCGATGACCTATCCGCCAAAGGCTGGCACCTCAATGCCCTGCAATCTCCCCCAGCTATCCACTGTGCCTTCACTATTCCCACTGCCAAGGCTGTCGATCAGCTCATTGCTGATCTGACTGAAGTCATCGGCAAAGAGCTTGAGAAGGCCGAGCAGCGCAAGCGCGAGGGCAAATCGTACATCCTCAACCGTGGCGATACCTCTGCTCTGTACGGTGTGGCCGGCAGCATTCCCGATAAGAGTATCGTCAGCCGTCTGGCAGAAGGGTTCTTGGACACTTTGTACAAAGCGTGAGTCTTGAATAAACATCTGAATTTTCCCTGTTTGTATCTTTTTTGCTCGGCCTCTCTGGACTGCATGCTCCCAAGGCATAGTCCCGGTGCCCCCTGGCTGTCTTTACCTGAACTGCTGGTGCAGTGGCGTTATCATTATCCAGGTCCTTTCAAATTGCACATATTTGGTTCAAGTGTTGGATTCGCACTAGACGGTAATAATGCATATAATACAATGGTTTGCCGGAAAGACATTCGCCCGATAGATGTGGACGTAGAGTACATGACCAAAAGAGAAGAATAAAAAAGCAACCCGCTCCATGCAAGCAAAGCCAAGACAGAAAAAAAGAGGACGCGATCGATCAATCAATTAATCGGCCGTCCGAGTGAAAGGCATTTCAAAGGACTCAGGTATCGTCTCAGTCTTCAAGACTGGCGAAAATCCCAGTCAAAAAGCACACAATTTCACGCGAAGTTCAATGAAAACAATCACTGACCACCGAGTTCCCCCCGCTGCTCAGAGCAGCTCTTTTCGGTATAATATCCGGGATCAGGCTTGCGCTCGAGGTGAACCTCCTGCTTCGTGAGGCGGTACTGGCATTCTTCGACCTGAACAAGTTCCTTGACTTTCATGATTTGACCTGCGACGGAGGGCGAGACGCTGTGGAAGACTGTTGCCATACGCTTCTTCAAGCCAAGAGCCTTGAGAACGTCTGTTGAACGGCGGGGGAGTCCGATTGCGGAGCGAACGAGGGTGATACGGAAGTAGGACATCTTGGATTGTGGAGATGGAGAGGGTGTGATATTCGGATGTTTGTTCTTTGGATGATGGTATGATTTAAGAGGTGGTCCGGGGCCGTTGAATTGGACTCGGAATGGGTGGAACAGGAGGCGGTGGATGCAGGAGAATATCGGAGTATCAGGGAATGAGAATTTGCAGCCGATATCTGCAGCGCAATTGATCCTTTGACCTGGCGGAGAAACGTCGCGGACTTGGAGATGATCGCGATCCCGCAAATTCAATTAGAAGGCGGTATATCACGTGTAAATTCTGCCAGGCATCCGATGATAGCAACGACGACAATCTATCGGCCTGTGATAGCTGATATAGTATTTCACATTTCGAAAGCGGAGACTATGGGCTGCGCTCTTTCCGGCGTGACAGTTCCTGGATTTATATCATAATTCGCCGCGTACTACCTTCCCACAAGCAACGCCCTATGCCCGCATTGTTGACACCTCACCCCTCGACCTAGCTTCGAGCGATTGAGCCGGAACACAGCAACACCACGGGATAATTGATACCGTACCGTGACCATGGCGCAAGCCAGTAACATTGATACTACGGTCGCGCTGCCGCGACTCGAAGACCTCCTACGGCACCCGGAAGATCTAGACAAGATCAGCGGTCTCAAAGCGGAATACCTGCGGAAGAAGACGGCAGTTGACTCACGGCTGCGTGAAGGTCTGCGAGACCAGCTGGAAGCCGTGCAACGCAGCATTGGTGCCCTGACTGAGGGCCAGCGACAAGTCTCGAAAACAAAAGACGAGCTTCAGGGCATCGACAAGCTGTGCGCCGAGTCGCAGCACAGCGTGGAGGACTTTGCGCAGATTGATCAACTTGCACGGATTCAACGACATTTCGATGCTACACTTATGATGAAACGGGGGCTGGAGAATTTCGGCGCGGATATCCAGGAAGTGGAGGATTTGCTTAAAGAGGATGATGACGATATGGAGAACCAGCCTAATATTCTGCGGGCTCATATGCAGATCTCGCGGTTAAGGGATTTCCGCGATGAGGCCATGGATCAGATTCGCAAGGCGGAGGATCAGAGCTCCGAAGAGACTCTGATAGAGTATTTTGAGGGGTTGGATTCTGTTATTGAGTGGTTTGATGATCACCTTGGCACGGCTTGCATGAACCTCATTCCCTTGGTGCAGGCGGACAACAAGAGCATGGTTGTTCGACTTGCTGTTGTTGTCATGAACGAGGAGAAAAATGACGATACAGTTCGAGCGTTGCAAGAGGCCCAGAAAGACCACAAGGACCTCGCAAGTCGTTTCAAGTCTATGAACATTGGCCCTAAAACTGTGCGGGGTTACAAGGACAAATTCATCCAGGCTATCGAGCTTTACGCCCAGGGCCAATTTGAAGAGACCCTTGAAACCTTCCTTGCAGACCCAGACAATCTGGAAAAGAAATTCCGGTGGTACTTCAATGATCTCTTCACGGTCAAGCAAGGCATGCAGAGCCTTGTGCCAAAGAAATGGAAGATATTCAAAACATATACCGATATCTACCACCAGATGATGCATGACTTCCTGCTCAGCATGATCGACGACGCCGAGCTCCCAGCCGATAATCTGCTCAGCATCATCCATTGGAGCGACAAATACTACAAGAAAATGAAGAAGCTTGGCTGGACATCAACAGATCTCCAACCCAACATTCTCGACGACCGCGAGCCAGAACTAGTCCGAAAGTGGCAGGACGTCATCATCAGCGCCGTTGAAGAATGGATGGACCGCATCTTCAACGCAGACAAAAAGTCTCTGGTGGAGCGTGCCGCGGATGCTCTGGACAACAATGCAGAAGGCCACTTCCGCACCAAGACACTGGCCGACATGTGGCGCATGCTCCACGAACAAGTCATGGCATCAGGGGCATCAGACCGCGCAGACCTGGTAGAGGGCGTCATCGATGCGATGTTCCGTGCCTTGAAGACCCGACAGACTTCATGGCAGACCCTCGTGGACGAAGAATGCTCGAAGCACCAATTAGAAGGCGCAGACCAAGAAGGCGTGCAGCTGCTGCAAGACTGGCTGATCGGCATAGCCAACGACCAGATCTCCTGCATCGACGACAACGAGGAGGACAACTCGTTCGGCTACCTGACGCGGTTCAAGTCCGATTTCGAGCCTATGGTCACACCCAAGTACATGGGCACCACAGCGACAATCGAGCTGGAGGCACTGCGTGATGGATACGTGGATTTGAGCACGCACTGCCTGGCGCAGTTCGTGAGCCTTGTCTTCTGGGTCGATCTGGACACCGTTCTGCCTGACTTCTATACCTCCCGCTGGTACGGCGAATTCGCCATGAAGCGTATTACCTCGACCTTTGAGGACTACATGGCGGACTACGCCTCCGTGCTGCACCCATCCCTGGCTGAAATCTTGGTCGAGGAACTCTCCGACGAGCTGCTGGTGCGGTACCTATCTGCGGTGCGCAACAAGGGTGTTAAATTCCGCCGCCACGTCGACCCCTTCACAGACAAGTTCAAGGACGACGTCCTCACTGTCTTTGCGTTCTTTGAGAAATACCCTGACTCATTCGAGGGTACTATCAAGCAGAAGTGGCGGCTGGTGGATTGGCTTGTTCGCCTCCTTGCTACCGAAAAAGGACCCGCGCTTGTGGAGGTTTACGAATCATTCAAGCTTGAGTACTGGGACCTGCAGCTTTCGTGGGTGGAGGCTGTGCTGCGCACCCGTGATGATTTCGAGCGCAGCATGCTCACTGCTATCAAGGCTAAGGCTGCGGAGCTGTCTGTTGAACGGGGACAAGAAACTATCATGAGTCGGTTGAGATGATTTCTTGGTACTTGACCGTGGTGCGTTTTTAAACCACCCTCATGTTCTCGTTTCACCTCAGCTCATATGCAATTCACCACCAACCACATGTACTATCCGCAACCCAAGCAGGCTTGGGATCTAGGTTACTCATTAATATCACTAGCAATACAGCAATGGAACCAAATATCTTAAATAATTTAGTTTCTCTTAAATATGTCAAAGACACGAATTCTAGGATCATGCTTAATTGACCATTTGCTATTGAATGCTGTTATGCGGGGTTGAGATTGACAGTTATGGATTCAGACTGCGTTCTGCAACGACCGTATATTTCTCGCCGAGGCGCTCATTCAAACCATGATCGTTGACACTAGGATGTAATTTCCTCGCGCCCATTTCGCAGATGCAGATAGTATCCAGAGGAATTTCCTTTGCCCAAATGAAAGGATAGCCGCGCGACGGTGGGAGAGGAGTGGCCGACTGACTTTCATGGTTGGAGGAAATAATGTCTTTGTTAGGGATTGGTGAAGATTTCGCACGGCGGTGGTGACTTTCGGTTTTCTCAGAAGATCCAGTAGGGGCTGGGTGTGGGATAGTTCGATTATCATCAGAGTAGTAGTTACGATATTGTGAGATCAGGTTGCGGGCATCAAACGTAAGGCGTGCTGGTTGGTTTCTAACCTTGGCATTTTTGTTCTGGACCTGTCGTCCGCGAACGTAAATTGTATTGACAAGGGTCGCGTGAAGGAGGAGTGGTCGTGGTTGCGGTTTTGGTTCTCGGGTTATTATAGTTATGGATGGATCCGGGTTTCTCGACGCGCCTGAGGGTTCAGAGGGAGTTTGGCTTCCTCGTGGGTGTAAAGATACATCGACAGAACTGCTAGCAGATTCAGAGGCCTGAGGAAAGTCTTGGACAAAGCGACCACTTGACTTTTGTCTTCCTCCTTGTCTTCTATCAGGCTCACTTTGGATGAAGCCAGTCTCGATGAATTTATCACGGAGCTTAACACAAAATGGTAGCAAGCGGTCTGTAGGATCGACCGGGGAAGCATGTAGTATGGTTGCTGACCTGCCTTGTGGCAGAGCATGTAATGACTCGAGAGAAACAGCCAAAGGCGATGATTGGCGAGGTGCACTTTTGGGTTGCGAGTGAGCGGCAACTCGCTCCGCATCGTTCATTAGCTCCGCCAGGTCGAGGGATTGGAAAAAGGCAAGAGCCTGATCAAGACGCTCTTTATTGGTGAGGCTCATGACTCCAAGAGTAAGGTGAAGTGTGCCTAGTGGACGAAAGGCTGTGCTGGGAAGACCTAGGCGGGAGGTATCCATTTGGTCATTAGACGATTGGGAAGCTGGCCCAGGTTCAGCGAGATGAGCTGTTTTGAATGCGGCGAGCGATGAGTCCAGCTGTGGCAGCGATTTGGTGTTTACCAGAGGGAGACAGAGGAAATGCGTCAATTGCGGCCGCTTTTGCCGCTTTTCTGGACGTGGTTTGCGTGGCTGATGTCTTGCGAAACCTGCGGCCTCCGTCATGATGGATCTGTATCTCCACGAGTGTGACAGCAGCATGGAAATAAATAAATGTTCGCGCGAGCCTGTCGCCGAAGTTGTCTGTGGATACTTGCTGCTAGGAAGAAGTTGGAAGTAGGTAATCTTAGCTTGAGACCTCGGGATGGTCAAACGCACGGACCAATATCCACAACCTTGTGTCAACTACGTGGGAATTTATACTTCCCTTCGCCATAGCTGAGCTATAGGCCACAGTAAGCATGGCATCAAGTTTGATACTGTCCCGCATCTCGTCTGAGTGCGTTATTTTGTCCCCGTTGTATTCGGTGTGAAGGGAATATCGGATCGGAACATCAAATGCAAGGCCCGCTAAGAATTCACCGGTGTTAGAGACGCAAAATATCTTTTCCGGGGAACTTATAGTCACTTACTATAAGGGGATTGATGGTTTTCGGGGGCATTTCAAGATTTAATCTGTTTGCTGAGGTCATCAGGTCTACTCTGGAGGAAATTTCACCCTATGTTGAGTGTTAAAAGATATGAAAAGTACTACAGCGAGTATTACTGTTCCCCAGCATCTTTTTTCCACCTGTGTTTCTGGCCGATCAATGCCTAGAACTCTGTTAGTGCCTTGTTCCAACTCACTCTGGTTATCAGCCTCGCTCTTCTTATTTTTGTATGGCATAGTTAGAGGTTTGTTTGTGTTGGGAAAATTCTCCAAGCCCTTAAAAGAGGCAGTCGTTATGCTTTAAGCTAGTCTTTCATCCGCACAAAACAGATAGTAATTAATCCTACGCTATTGCCACTTATATTCTAAATATTATTGCTCCATACGCAATTGAGTCGTATGGTGTGTGCTGTGGCCAGGAAATATCCAGTCGGATTACCCGAGACTATCCGTTGGATTGATCGCCTGCGCAACCACACTGTCCTCCCACCTTTTGTCCTGATTGAGTTGTACTGTGATACGTGCAAATGCTTGTTTCTCAAAGAAAGCAGGTCATACACGATAGTTATTGGCTAAATGGGGACTCCGGATGTAACATTCGACCACGAATCACTTGCTCAAGGTGTCCTTGTCACATGGTTCCTTGTGAAATTGATGAATATTCAGTCGTACAGAAGGATGTGCAAGATTTCAATGTCAGTTACAGAGTCTGCGGTAATTTCTTAAATCTTGAGCTTGTCGGATTCTTAACCATTGTTTATTTTAATCTTCTCGTGGCTTTTAAGGCATGAACCACATAAATTCAACACCTAGCTCATCCAAGTAAATTTCTGGTGGGTATAATATACCAAGAGCCCTTATTTAAACTGTTTCAAAGCACTGTGTATCCTGTACTTCTATCCCCCCAAATGATTACCTCTTGTTCCATGGGCTGATATCGAGGATCGGCGTTAGCTCACTATCTCTGCAAAAATGCGGTTCTCAATTACCATCGTCCTCACTCTCGCTTCTTTGGCAATGTCCAGTCCATTGAGTTACGCAAATTATGAAGCAATATCTGAAGCAGTCGCTTCATTTGACCACACCAGATATGGTAAATCGACTCCACCCGGTGAGATAGTGGTCGCCGAAATAACCAAGTGAAGGTACAAACACCAAGGACTTGGTATTTCGGACATATTTATCTCTTTTGTGTCCCATCTTCTCTCGTGTCTTCTTGTTATGCTATGATTTGAAAGCAACTACACTGGATTAATGAAGCAAATGAAGTTTCAACGCCCTATTATGGGGTCGAACCACTACCCAAAAGCCCAATTGATCCCAACCCGTGCCATGAACTCGTACACTCTAGCCCAGCTGGCTTGAACATGCTGCTGGGGAGGTATTTCAGAAGTTCACGAAGAAACGGCACGCAGGCCGATATGATTGCCACTGTATGAAGGACCTGGCTGCACATCATCCAGGGCAAGATAGTCATTGACAGAGAGCGCTGGTCGTAATCAAATTCATTGACATGGCGTAGCTGAATGCCCGTGACGACGATTTTCTGCTCCACAGAGATTCATTGGTCATTCAAGTTCGGTCCAGTATAGAAACGAGAACGAGGGACTCGCAGTGTTCATACCCAAGAACGCGGTAGCTACTAGACGTTTTTGTATTGGCATATAAAGCCGAGAGACTAGAACACTTGGAACACGGAATAGCAGACTCTCAATGGCTATGTCCATGGCACCGAAGTATTTCCACAATGCGGTCTTCTAGTAGGTTAGCGAAATTTAAAGTAGGGGCATAACTATGAATGTGGTGGATATATACCAAATTGAAAACATTTCCCAGAAAAGTCCCATACTTTTGGTGGTTGACATTGAAGGGATGCCACAATTGTCATCGTCAAGGTCCAGAGTATTAAGAAGCACACCACTACTGCGATGCTTCTTGTAATGGACGTGAGGCTGCTTCCGGAGAGGATGTTATAGAAGATAATCATAAACGCCAGTTTCCCCAGGCCGAGGGTGATGACGTGAAATATCTCTGAAACACAGATCGCTTTCAGAAGTTCAATCTGTGGAACGATGAGACGGAGGATCCCATCTATTTTGATAAATAAACTTCATCTTTTCGCTCTCTTTCTAGCTCTCTTCTTCTCTCCTCTCTCTTCTTCTCTTCTCTCTCTTCTCTCTCTCTCTCTCCTCTCCCTCTCTCTCTCCTCTCCCTCTAAACTCCCCAACAATGACAGGCAGAAATTTTGAAGTTCGAGAAATCACCACTAAAGAAGAATTTGCACGCTTGAACGACGTACTGTGGACCGCTAACTTCCATCCATACGAGTGGGTATCCTATGTACACAATATTTACGACAATCCCCGTATTAACCCCACCCTTCCTCTAGACCTGCCTTCATCATTTTCCACGCCGTCAATGGCCATGCACCAGAGGACCGCGCCAAAGACAAGGCCACAGACACAGACCTTCAATGGGCCAAACACGAGCAGACATGTGGTTCTCACTACATCTACACCATTGAAAGGTCGACAGGCCGAGTCGTAGGTGGCTGTCAATGGATATTCTACCACGAGAATCCCTTCCCTAACGGCCCGCACCAAGTACCTTGCACCTGGTACCCTGCCGGATCCGAGCGCGCCAAATACGCCTCCCACGTTGCGACCCAATTCCTGTATCCGCGACAGTGCTGGTTTCAGCGGCCTCATGCTGGTGTGTTACCTTTCCCGGAGGTTAACGGTGGTGTGAATGAGAGCTGACGGTGTTGATTAGGTGTGAATCGAATGGGTGTTCACCCGGACTTTCGTCGTCGTGGAATCGGGCGGCTTTTGATGCAGTGGGGTCATAGAAGAGTTGATTCATTGGGGTATGAGACTTTTATTGAGTCGGGACCTCTAGGGAGGTGGTTGTTTGAGGGGTGTGGATATGTGAAAGTGATGGGGTTGCATATTGATTGCGAGCGGAAGAATCCCAGTGAAGAGTGGGAAAGGTTGGTGCATGAGTGTCAACCACCGGGGATTCTGCTACTTTGGAGACCCCCGAGGGGTGTATTGGACGAGAGCTTGCCTGAGGGGCCTTGGGCAGTTACGTCTGAAACGTGGAAGTAGCCTACGTTTTTACATTCCTAATATGTTTTACAATGAAGATAGTTTCGATGATGTGCTTGAGGAAGCGGGCAATGAAGTTCGGGGTAGTATCCATCCCTGAGCATGAGAAACGGTATAACCCTAAGCTGATATAAACCCATGGGTGATATGGCAGTTGATGACGCCTATCAACGTAAAAGAGACTGGCTTAGAAACATTGAAGTCAATTTCCTTTTCCCACATCTCATCTCTTTACCATTTTACTATATTCCAATATGGCCAATCACCAGACAATTTCGCTCCCAAAGATGAAATCCATCTTCCAACGGCGTCGACGAACAACCCAACAGAAGACCCAACAGAAACCCCTCCCAGTCGACAATTTACAAAAGATTCCACCAGAAATCGTGGAAATACTTTTCAAATTCCTCTGGGTTACCGATCAAGTTTGCCTGGCGCTAACTTGCAATTATCTCTTCGCTTGCTACCAGTCATTTCTCCGGGTGCGCAAAACGGGGGTTACTGAGCTCCTATGGCGTGAACCAGTTTCGGAATTGCGTTTAGTTCGTCAACTTCAGAATGATCGTTGGCAATACTGCTGGTGGTGTTACAAACTCCACCCATTTTCTAAATGGAGAGCTTTTCTTTACATGTGGGGATACAGAAGAAAGTGCTGTCCTGTTCGTGACCTCGTCGTTTGGACAAGAACTGATATCTGACGGAACTTTAAAGCCGCCCAATTACCTATACTCCTCTGTTCTAAGTACCATTGTTCTTCTTCATGTGTCGTACTCCGTGCCATGTTGTTCGTCCCAGAAGGTTCGCGAGTGGGAATGAGTGTAAGTGTCTTTGGTGAATAGGGGCACGAATAATACGACCAATTGCTATTTTTCTCTTGATTCTTCCCAAACATTTGTCCCGAAAAGCAGTCGTTAGTAGTGGCTCTACCTGCATCTTGTGATACAAACTCAGATCCTTGAAGCTCGATTTGTTGTATGATATTCCATTTCGATTATTTACATTGACTCCCCAATAGCCCGATGGCCCAATTCAGCTTCTGTAACTTCACTGTCGCTACCACGCCATCCATAATATCCCCAGTCCATCCACCATGTTCGACAATTTGCTCGGTGAGCCAGAGAAGTTCGCTCATTTCCTTGCCACCCTGTGAAGTATTGGCATTGCTCAATCAATGGGCCATTGAATTCCCGGTGTGGGTGATGTTGCCCGTGGGCGAATGTAAAGCACGAGAATGTTCACAGAAGTGCCGTGTAGGAGATGCTGATGCTGTCGCTTTCCCCCGCTGCTGGTAGGGTCGGTGTTGCTTTCTTCCCTTTCTCTCTTCTTTGCTTTGTTTTCTGTTTTCTTTTTGAGATGACATTTGCGATGAAAGCAGTTGTCTAGTTATGTTGCAAGGTATGCCTCTTCATTGTAGTTTTGGCATTTGTAAGCAGATAGATGGGTTGTCCAAGAATCAATTTCTCGAGTCCTGTCCACAGGGTAGTGGGTACTGGGGACTCACTGCCATTTGTCGTCGGGAGCGGGCTCTGGGACGCAACCCCCGCATAGCAGCATGTATGTAATAGCGAGCTAAATCGGGTCAATGAATTCATCATCAACATCATAGATGGGTTGTCCGATGAACAAACAGAGTTGCCAGGTGTCCAAGTCACAACGAGCTGATGATGAATTCCACATGTTGCATCCATCAAGCCCTTGAATGGCGTCCATAGTCATGTCCCAGCAGACAATGCCCAAATTTCAGAGAAATTCAAGGAATCGCCACCGTCTGTCCTCGGCTACAGCTGATTGCAACGCTGACTTCCGTGTCCTAAAACCCGTTGCCAAGTCATGCACTTTGCAATCTTCATTGGAGCCGAGAACATATTGTTAGGGAACGGATCTGCGCAGTCCCCCTACTGACCACCCACCCTATCCCAAGGGCAGTCTTGCAAGCGACTGAGATAAGTTCCACCCATCCAGCCAACCTCGGGAACTCACTTCATTGCGCTTGTAAATTATCCTTGGGATGGGTAGGCCCAGCGAAATGGGACTGGTCTCTGAAACTTGACCGTGGATTCCGTCCTGTGGCTCAAGTGGAGACAACATAGAATATTCACCATCAGACCACTGTTACTCAGCAGCGAACTGACACGCGCAAGGCCAGAAAAACTCAACATCATTTTCCGATCGCAAACAGGGCCCCAGTGGAGTGTCAAGTGTTCTCGGAAGAGAGTCAATCATGTTCAGAGAAAGTGGACCTGTTCATGGTTAGGCCATTGTATGACTTTGAAGGTGCAGGGCAAAATCTTACTTAATCAAGATCATCAGGTACCTTTGAGAAATAGATAGGGCCGAGTGGCAAGCAAATTTGAGTTGATAAGCATAGTTCATCGGGTTGGAGATTGGTATGGACCTGGAAACCCAACAAGCGTCAGCAAAGCTGGTGAGATCCCGTCGCAGAACTCTATCTAACTATCTGTGGAGGTTGGCGTTGTTGCATTCAACCTCCTTTCCAATTGTGTCGGCTAGGAGACCTCACCTGAATGTGCTTTCTGTGAGCGGAAGCTTCAGCTTCTGATGTTGATGTATGCGTTGGCAACAACGACGGCGGTGGTGCCATGACATGTGTGGTTTGTGTAGCCCGTATTACAGGCCCGTTTGATCCGATAATGGAGATAAAGGAAAATTCAGAAGTCACTAAAAGCAGAGAGAAAAAAAGTTTCCCTGCGTCAGTCAATGGACTGGTGAGGTCTTCCACTCATTGCGAGCCAAAAGAACCTTGGGGGTTGATATAACGCTTGAGTTCTCACCTGGTGTGAATATATTGGTGGAGGATGGACTGTTCAAGATGGACCATGTAGATGGGGAAATGATTGGAAGCGCTCACAGTGGCAAGCGACTAGGATATGTAGAGATCCCTAAAGGCAGAGGAGAAAAAAGTTTCCCTGCGTCAGTCAATGGACTGGTGAGGTCTTCCACTCGTTGCGAGCCAAAAGAACCGTGGGGTTGATAACGCTGGAGTTCTCACCTAGAGCATAAATGGTCACCATGAGTTCTTCCCATGAGTAGAAAGAATGCATCAAGCAGAGTCGATATGTATGACAAGCATGGACTGGTGTCTGATCTCTGCAATTTATTAGCTAAGTAACAGGACAACAGATTTCAAAATTCGTCATCGCTGGGGAACATGAGGGAGTGATAAGCATAGACATGATGAAGTATCAAGGGGCAGACATGATGCCATGATACCATGAATACATGGGACCAGAGCAGTATCACAAGGTGGTGGGACCAAATCATTGAGTGATAGAGATGGGATAAGAAGGGGAAGGGAGAGGAGAGACAACAAGGCAAGACACGAAACACCCAGACGTGACAAGACATAGAAGTGGAAGGAACAAATGGTGGAAGGTACTCACCAGTCAACATGGTCCAGGTGACGTGACCAGCTGGGGGTCACCAAGAGGATCATGGTTCAAACAAGTTGTAGAGACACAGAAAAAGAGATAGTGATGGAGAGAAGATGGCCATGAAGCCGTGAATGATAAACAAAAGTCTTAAACCCCCCAGGGGGGGTGGAGATTTGATGGAAAGTGGATAGAAGGATGAAGGGAAGATGGATGTAGGAGGAAAGAAAGAATTGGGAGAAGAGGGGGGAGGAGGGGGGTATTTATGTGTTTAAGCTGGGGAGTGACTCTGGGGGTCCTTCCATTTTGGGGAAAGTAGCTTGTCTGAAAAAGGGAAAGTAGCACTTTCCCTAAGGTTAACGTGTACCATGTCTTGAGACACTGGTTATACAGATGACCTGTCTAACGAGATGCGACAACGAGGTCTCCAGGAGTCAGTCTAGGAAGTCCAATGTCTCCCATTAAGAAATATTGATGTCTACCCGGGTTTCTTAGTATCCTGTAGCGTATTATGAAGATATACAGATATTTATATCCATCTGCAGAGGCGAGACACAACCTCCTCTGTAGAGACTAAGCTTAAACCTGATATCACATGTGTCTAGACTTCAGTCCAGCACTCGTCTTATCCGTCCGACACTGAGGATATCGACGGAATACATTGAGCCATACTTAGTAAATAGTGACGCAGGTGGCCACGGGACTACTCAGTAGAGAAAACCTTCAAGCGAGATACTATAAAGGACATCGGAGCATTTGCTATGCATCACGTCTCTATCCAACGTCATCTCTATCGAATGAGCTAGGTATTCAGATGATCAAAGTCCTATGTTGTCGAGGGCCAAGACCAGATAAGTGGTCGACTACTTGTATTTGTAGTCTTCATTACATGCTAAGAATGATATCCCGTAAAGGTCAGAAAACGATTGATACAACGGTTTCTAAACGCTAGTGAATGAATGGTCTTTGCGGCCCCACAGGGTTTAATAGACAAGTAGAGAACGCATAGCATAGCAGGGTATCAAATAGCTCCAATGTCGATTTCATAGTTGAAAGTACATGTATGGTGAAAACGGAGAGCCAAGGACCTGGCGTCCATGGCGATGAGACTCATGAAGTCTCCTTCTTGCGACCATCAACAACACGCATAATATCCGTCACGCTATCTTTGTCACCCTTCCTCTTCTTGGGGCCACGCTTTCTCTTTTTCCCGCCTCGCTCGTCGTCGTCAAAGTCGAGCAGGGGACCATCGTCCTCCTCCTC